GTCTTGATGGGATTCCTTTGAAGAATCGCAGGGCTAACACCAGTACGCCTAAAAACCTTCACAGGTTGACCATTGTAAGTTGTGGAATGTCCGGACACAAACAAGATTATTCAACAATTACAATAATTGGAACTCACACGACTATTTAACACAAATATATGTACAATCACTACATCAAATGTTGTGGATTCTGACACGACAAACTACCCTTGAAGAACTGTAGGACTTACAGCAGTACGCCTACATTCCTTCTCAGGTTGATGATCCAAGTGGAAGTCGTCCGGACACAATCAGAATTACTAACAGCTAGATGACATATGATATCAATTCAGTATATACAATATGAACTTATGTACAAAATCACACACCGAGCACATTGGACTGCTCATTGATGCGCTACCCTTTGAAGAATTGTAGGACTTACAGCAGTACGCCTACAACCCCTCTCAGGTTGACGCTCTAGGTTGGAAAATCGTCGCAGAGTTCATTTGCTGACTTCCCTCTATCATCTATATCCTCAAATCTGAACGGTAACACACCCACGTCATTGTATCGTAGAATATAGATGACCAACAAACACACGACATATCTCATCAACCAAGTGTAGAAACAGAGTAATTTACACCAAAGATAATAACATTCAAATAGTAACTTGAAACTAGAAATGCCTTTATTCGTGCAAGTCAATTTAACAATTACTCTCTCGTTTACACTTGGCTTATCCTCTCTAAACTGAGCAATATCTTTCGTCTTTTCAAACGCACCAATACTCTCAGAGTCATTGCACAAGATACTTGAGTTGATGGGCGTCTGTTTCATTGTGGATGACAGCACCAACGACGACTGATTGATACCAGTTGATGAATTTTTTTTTATTTACAGCTCGATTCCATTCTGCATTTTTCGTACAAGTATGGAATTTTCAGCATGGATATCGGTAGCCCAAATTTCGCAGGCCGACCATTGATATCAGGTGTGCGTCGGCAGAGGATCGAACCTCGGACCATGTGCATGGTTGACCAGAGTTCTAACCACTGTGCCACCGACGCACCGACGCGGTGGATCAGAAGCTGTTGTTGTTCGGCTTTCATAAAATTCTCTAACTGCATGATTACTACCACTGCTGTCTTTCACTATCAGCTCAGGTTTAGCACTAGCATCTGATGATAGGTGGGCTACATGCTGATCAATTAAACTGACGGTCTGACAAGTATGCATGCCTGCTGGAAATGCATTTATTTCCACTTCACCTTTGATCTGTACAGAACCCTTATTTAACTTAGCAGTAGTAGGCACTCCCCTCATTTCATCATGACGAACCAATGACAAATATGCACTATCATGATCATTATCACAAATTTTCAATTTACCATCATCTATCTGGTCGACTTCATCACTTTCAAACCCTTTATTAACAGCAGTAGATGATTTGGGTTCTTCCTCACAAATCCCTAAAGATAGATATGGAAAACCATAAATAGTGACGATGATAGCTTGGTACGATCTAGATAAATTAGCTAAATGGGCTGACCTCTGGATTCTGAGAAGTAATTCATAGATATGTCTCCCGTAGAAAGCCCAAAATTGGCAGAACAGTAGTGGTTGTAGTTCGGTTGTGTAAAGGCGGGGCATTCGAACTTGAAATGCGAGAGACAAACGAATTAGTGGTTCAATCGGTGTGGACCCCCTTCTGAGGACAGTAAACGGACCGGAGGATTCCGTTAATTGTTATAGTACCTTAGACCCCTTGACAACCCATAAGTTTGTTTAGGGGTATTACCAGTTAAGGGGAAAGACCGAAATCTTCGGTAGAGTCTTATGCATTGTTGGATAATGGTTCAGACGTTACACTGATAGATGCTAAGCTGACCGGCTGCTTAGGTATTAAGGGCCCAAACAATCCCTGCTTCCAAATACTTTCAATTCTTCGAAAACGGTAGTATGCGAACGAGTGTCATTTCAGTTAGAATCCTTGACTACTGGGGAAACCGTTGAAGTAGATACTGCTTACACTAACTCCAGCATGAAACTCGGCGAAGCTACCGTACCTAGACCGTTAGCCATACCTGTGTGACATACCATTTCCAACACTGCAAGATGGTAGAGTGAGAATACTCATTGGATGTAGTGTGCCAGAAGCTCACAAGGTAGTAGAAGAGAGATTCGGAGGTAGAGATGATCTGTTCGCGGCGAAAACACCACTGGAATGGACAGTGAGAGGGTCTATACCCATAGTCAACATATCATCATTAGCTGCAAACAATGGGAACAAACTAGAGACTATGATTAGAAATATGTATGACAAGGAGTTTTGTGACTGCGGTGTCCCAGAGAAGGGTCGTTCTGTAGAAGACCTAAAGGCAGTTAAAATAGTTGAGGAGTCTTGTAAATACGAAAATGAGCTTTTCAGCGTTGGCCTACCATGGAGATTTAAAGATAGACAGTTGGTTTGTAACAGAGAAGTTGTTCTTAAGAGACTAGTGGGTTTACAGAAGAAATTTCTGTCAGATGCAGACCTCTGGACCAAATATAAGGATGTCGTCGACAAACATGTAATGAAGGGTTACGTTGAAAGACTAGTTGATCAGAGCGAGCCAGGGAAGTGGTATTTGCCCCATCATCCCGTCTTTAACCCAAGGAAGCCAGGTAAACTCCGTGCGGTGTTCGATTGTTCCGCGAAACATGAAGGAGTCTCTTTGAATGATAATCTGTATAGCGGCCCAGATTGCGTGAGCTCATTAGTCGGTCTGCTGTTGAGATTCAGAAAGTTTACAGTTGCTGTCGTCGCGGATATTGAGGAAGTGTTCCTACAAGTGAAGGTGCCAGAGAGTGACAGAGGTCACTTAGGGTTCTTGTGGTCTGATGATGGTCCTTGTGGTAAGATGTCGGAATATAGGATGACATTCCATCCATTTGGTGCCACGTCCTCGCCGTTTTGTGCCAATTTTGCTCTAGGAAAGGCAGTGTCCACATTTGGTTCTGAAGATCTGCTGGACGTCATTGATTGTTGCTTCTATGTGGATGATTTTTGAGCCTCCTTCGATGATGGTAAGTCTGCAGTTAAATTTGCGACAAGTATTACTGGGGTGTTAGCTAAGGCTGGCTTCCGTTTAACTAAGTGGGTCTCGAACAGCATAGACGTTTTGAAGCACACAGTTCCAGAAGACAGAGCACCTACTGTACGAGATTTACCTGTTGATACTCTACCAGTTGAATGCATATTAGGTATGCGATGGGATGTGAACTCTAATACCTTTGGATTTAGTGTTGGTGATATTGATGATCCAGTTACTCGGAGAGATGTGCTCTCCGTGTTGTCGTCCGTGTTTGACCCACTTGGATTAGTGGCACCTTATCTACTTCCGGCGAGGAGATTATTTCAAGAGACACTCAGGAAAGGGTTACAGTGGGATGACCCATTAAGTGAGAGACACGGTGAAGAGTGGAAAAAGTGGGTTAACAGTTTAAGAACGCTGGATCTACATTCCGTCTCACGCCCACTTAAGCCACCGAGAAATCATGACATAAATGACTTCCGTGTTCTTTCTGATGCCTCTGAGGTTGGATTTGGAGCAGCCGTCTACATCAGAACATCAGACAGTGCTATTTTCGGTAGGCTTTAGAGAAAGATGACGAAGCGATTCACGGCTCTTTGAAATAATCTTATTTCGGCTGAAATGATCTTCTCTATCAGCTCAGGCCCTCATAATTTGCTTCAATGTATCAATTTTCCTCCTGATTGCTTGAGTTTAGTTCATTATGTCTCATCCCACCCTTCCAGTTAGGTGTTTCGCTAGTTTCCGGAACTTTCTGCCGCCTTCCGGTATGCAATCCATATTGTTTGTGCAATCATGCCTGTCCATAATTTCTGCACAGTATATGTTATCTGGTCTGGTGATGACTGTTTTGTATTATCTTAGTCTCTTAACAGCCTGCTGATGCTTTCTGATTGGTGTGCTGTGGAGCAAGTACATTTTCGTCCGTCTATACTGATGGAAGTGGCCCAGCAGAGTTGATCTCAATTGTTCAAGGTCCCCACCAGGGGAGCCAACCAGGTCCCCTGTCTGAATGTGGAGGTTCTCAAGCTGTACGTCGGTGTCCATTTGACTGTCGTCCATATGGGAATAAAAAATTTGGTCGGAGAGATAGTTCTTCATGTTTATTCCTATTTATTGAGAGTTCCGCCAGAGTAGTTACAGGTCAACCCTTCAGTATTCGCTCAGTATTTAGTATTTACTTTGGGGAGGCCCAGTTCTCCGAGCCTCTGATCGATTGTACCAGCATTTTTGAGGAGTTCGATTTAACGAATTCACCAACGTATTCCATAAATTGTAGTCAAATATCTTCTGAAAATTGCATGGAGGATTTAATCATGAGCCGACATCAGTTCTTCTGAAGAGTCGAGAAGTGCATAATTGCTTTGTGACATGTTTGTTCCCAGTTGTGTGATGTTAGAGTGGATTGATTCTATTTGATAAGGAGCACAACACTTTCCAAGTCATTTCATCATATGACATTCTGCTTCTACGTAGGGATTTCCAGTGAATATTGGGATATGAATTATTCTGGATACAATTGTCTATAAATTCGCCACATATTCTTTATTCAGGGAGTCACACGATGAGCTTTCGGAATTCATTGAACACATTGTTCTCAACAGGATGATCAGGGGGATTATAAGACTCAACAGTGCAAAATATTCTCATATCATGAATTGAAAGTCTACCTTTTACCGATAAGTATTATATTTAACAATTATTTTATTATTATTTTTTTATATTTATTATTATTTATAATTATAATCACATTAGAAGAATTTACTGGGAAGAATATTCTTCCCTCAGATCGAACTACGCAAACATCTACTGACCTTAACTACACAACCAAGAGGCGAGCACAAAGAAATCAAATTGGTTTACTTCAGCTCGTAAGAAATGATATTGGAAATTGAATTCGAAATAGCGGTAAGACACTTCTGTGTGTGGCGCGGTTAATTCAAGATGAACGGAAATCGGTCGCAATTTCGTGAGTGTGAGGGTTCTTCTAGTTCGATGCTGCCGAGTGAGTCTGATCCCCGAGCTCCTTTCTTTTATCATTTTGTTAAATATAAACCTGAGGAAACTAAGATTAATGAGTCTGGAGTTTACATTGAGAATTCACTAGCCCTCGAGCGGAAAGTTGCCCCACATTTCAACCCACATATCCCAGGTCTGAAAAATTCTCTCACTGAGTCGTTGTGTCAGTGAGTTATAGTCTTCAAGCTTTAAACTTTGAAAGGACGCCAGGATTTTTTTACCTAGGTAGATTGTATTTTGCACTCTAGGCACTTCTGAACACTGCATATGACGACTGGAGACAAGAGAAAATTAACGAAGAAAGGCTTCTGCGAATTTCAATTAACTAAACAGCTCTAAATGCAATATAGCATTACTTCATTCCTTTCGAGTGGTTAGTTTCCCTATAAATAGACAAGTAAAAACGAACATACATGTATGTGTATATATATGAACACTGTGTATATGTTTTCCGAACAGCTTGATATGCGATATGGGCAGTAAAGTTTGCTCGTTATGTCGTCGACTTACATTAGATTAACTTATCTAATGTGTAGTCATATTCTACTACAGTGCTCAAGTCCCACTGTTTGGCGCTGTGTGTGTGCGTGTATGCATGTGTAGGAGAAATAGTGCAGCAGCTATGGAAAGAAAGAAAACACTTAGATGTTATTGGAATGACTTCGGTTACTGATACTGACATATATTCCTCCTAGTCCAGTTGTGAATTTCTGTAGACACACTTGCGACAACAGAGAAAACATTCATCGGTCAACGAGAGTGATATTAACGTATGGACTGTGACTAGTCCCAGTTGTTGCATAAAATAGGAAGACGGAGATGTAATACCACCGTGAATTACCCATGGATAATGGCATAGTAAAATCACCGAGGCTAAATTTTTCTACTAAACTGTGAGTAGTTAGTCTTCAAAAGAGTTTGGAATTTTAAATATTCTCTCTAATGGTGGGTTTCTACAAACAGTGGGGTCATCTCATCCTGCATTTGATCGCTTATTCTGTTTTTGCTCCTTTAATTTTTGCGTGTTTGTTTTCGACTGTAGATGAACCTTTGGTTTACGCGAAGTGGCGATTTGAAGAAAATTATTATGCAGGAAAAATTGAATCCGTAGAAAATCACTCATGGTAAGCATTTGAAATTAGTATGGCACCAATTGAAATGACTAATGTCCATTTCCTTAATGGGGGTTTATTCATCAGATGCTTTTCTTCCGTTCTGCATAGTCAATGCAAACTTTTAAAAATTAACTGAGGATTTATACTTGATATTATCAGTGTCTACATGGAAGTATGTGCACAAGTCGACACTTACTGTCATTCTCAAGTAGCGTGTATGTATGTCTGTATAATGGTTAGTTGACACGATTGAATCGTTGGACAAGACTGGCTTGCTAGCCAGATCGAAGTGAGATCTAAACACAGGACGACAGTTACTTCGATTGATGTGAATGGTACCTAACTGTCAAGAAACTTGATATGATTATGAACAATAGTTCGTGCTCGAAACGTCATCAGTTAATATTAGTGTATAACACTGTGTGACAGTATATCAAAATAAAATCTTATCCATAATGGAGTTATGCTCTACCACAGTGCCCAAGTTTTATACTTATATCAATTCCCGAGATATCCCAGTCAAACGGTAGACACCTCTTTAAGTGACCCAAGGTAACAGTCAGACTCCATGATTTGGCGCCATGTTTCCTCCCCATCAACTATGACCTAACCTATCTTCAGCCCTCCCAACGTTACACAACTCACTGGCTGGGTGCAGCTTTACAACTCCAATCCCTGACATCATTATTATTTTTACCCCAATATTCTAACTAATACGAAGTTGGAAGTAGGTAACGTTGGTGAGAATTTCGTAGTGTCGAAAATGATGTTGGGAACAATAAATTATGATTAACCAATGCTGATGCTTCACCTTCAGTGGGCGTCTGTCTTACAAATGTAAAGTAGGAAAGAATGAATTTCAATACGATAAACGACTTTTCACATACAAGCAGATATATCACACCTGGGCTGGCCAGAATTGACTCAATTTGACGCGTAAACGGTGCTGCCACTAGTCTATACTGCGGCTTACGGAACTCTTTTTAATAAACAAACTGATGAACACATTTAGCCACTGAGCCTTAATTAGGAATTAATCCAGATAAGTCCTACATCGGCGAATTGTATACTAAAAATACCAAGGTTTCTGATCGAAAAGTTCTGAAGACAGCATTTTGTCAGTGTATTCACCATTTGCATACGGGAAGATTTGAACCTGTCTGTCTGCTTTTGACGTAGAAATTTGCACCGATGTGGAGCAGTTCAAGTCGCCACACCATGTAGCATACAAAGCAAGGGAAGAAAGTAGAAGAAATGCATAATAGAGACAGTAAACAGAGGTGTGAGACAGTGTGTGAGGAGTAGTAATAACGAAGAACAGTATGGTTTAATTAATTAATTATTATTTTTTTGCTTTATTCCAAAACAGTACTTGTGATACAGAATGCAATTCTCAGCATTTTACTACAGTATTGCATCCAGTTAGTACATTATCAATAAATAAAATTCTATATAGATTCAGGAAATCTCAGTTCATTATGACAACAACATATTGGCATGTCGGTAGCAAAGCCAAAAATTGAACAGAGTGTTTGAAGGTGTTAGAAGAGTAGGTGATAGCATATTTACTGGCGTGAGCAGAAGAAAGAAACAAAGGAGCACGTAACAGAGAAAGAAAAAGAGAGAGAGAGAAAGAAAAGGAGACGAAAGAAAGAAAACGTTGTACCTATAAAAGATATGAATCGGAAAGACGAGATCCAGTTGTTCTGCTGATAATTTAATAAGTTATAGGTATCACGCCTAATGCTTTCTTTATCACACAGAACACGAGCTAAGCAGGGCATGGTTGAGTTTTTGTACTTGCTAGTGCGAGCATATAGTTGTCTATATAAGCAGGCTTCTGGTTTTGCCTGATGAGATACAACGGGAGAGTTGTGAATGAAGAAGGTGGTGCGAGTTAGATAAAATGGATTTTGCCCATTTTTCACATGAGTCCACGTGCCTGTCAACCAGAATATTAACAAGCTGGTTAAGTGTCACGTAGCATACCCTGCTGACAACAATTAATATCCTGCGTAATAAGGTATAATCTTTCTTCAGTAGCCCAGGAAAAAGTAAGGGGGAACAATAGAGAATAATAGGCAGAATCCGGGAATTAACGAATTGTAGGAGTCTTAAATTCTTGATGTAGAAGGTAAGACGGAATATTTTCTTAGAAATCATCAAGATATGAGACGACCAGGAAAGATCAGCAGATAGAATGACGCCTAGGTATTTAATTTCCGACTTGGTTTCTATTTCAGTGCCATCTATGTTGCACAGCTCGTGTGAGTGCTAACCACCAGTTTGTTTAGGTCAGATTTATGCCTTAAGGTGAAATTGACTGTTTGACATTTAGAGGGATTTAAGGTAAGACCGTTTTCCTTGGACCATTGGCTGACTTCTGATAAAAAGCCGTTTAGTTTAGTGCAGTCACTTTGACATTTGACAGGTAAAGGTACAGTCAGGTCGTCAGCATATTTGACAAAATTAATGTCATTTAAAGATGGTAGGTTATGTAGAGAGAAAGAAAAGAGAAGTGGGAAGAGTACAGCACCTTGGGGGACACCAGGTTTAGTGAGCACAGCAGAGGAGGATTTACCTTCGTATACGGTATACTGCATTCTGTTAGAGAAGTAGGAATGCAACCAGTTAGTGACCCAGGACTCAGTTTGTGTCATGGAGAGCTTATTTAGCAAGAGACATCTAGGTACAGAGTCGAAAGCAGAAGTGAAGTCAAGAAACATGTAGCGGATGTATTTGGCACCTTTATCTAATGATGAGACGATACTGTTGTATAAGACGGCTGCAGCCTCTAAAGTACTCCTACCAATGGATTCCGTCCTAGCCAGTGACTGAATGGTCTGACCAACGAGCTGGCCTCGGAGCCTGAAGCTTCTGCATGCAGTTGATCCTCGGTGGGGTTGTGGATGCGTACTGCTGAAGAATTGTCATCTCCCTAGACAGAACTGTCCTGAAGGACATTATGAATTAGAATATGAATGTATTTCTCTCGTGTTTTCCTCACTTTGTTTTTTATTATACAATTTTGGCGAGATTTTTAGCCGATGTAATTGTGAATTATCATTCTGATGTGTATATTATCATTAAACATTTTCACTAGTTTACGAAGATTTCAAGTGCCCATCAATGAGACAGAGGTGAAAAACTTGAGAGATCGAAAGCTCCTACAGACCAATCATTTTGAACCACGGGATTCACCGCATTGTGATCCTGAAGTCTTAAGAGCTAATGTGAGTTGAATATTTCTCTTATTCTTGAGCATATTTTGTGGAAGTAGTATTTCTCCTATCGCTTAATTGATGCGAAGTGGTTTTCTCTCCTTCGGGGAGATGTGACATATTGACTTAAGCACCCGACTTCTAGCCACAAGATGCAGGTTTCAAAGTCCCTCCCCATGTAGATTGGGTTGGTCAACTGTGAACAACAGTGTCATCAGTGTATTTGTTGGCTCATAGTTTTTTACAGGGAGAATGTGTTTCGTGTGACTGACTTCACAGGAACAGCTATCTCTCCTGCATGATAAATTGTGTCAGCATAGTACATGTGTGTTTGTGACTTTTGTTCTGTGTGGACTAGGGTTTCAGCTGAGTGAGGAGGAATAGAGGAGAAGTCTTAGTAAACAAGCACTCGCATATCAATACAGTCAGTCATTCAGTCAGTCGTCACTGTCTCAAACGTATTGTAAGAGGACTTGTGGTTCTACCTGACTGCCCGAATGTTTGTAGATGGAAAGTATCCCGAACCTGTTGTCTCCAGCCAATGGTTGTCACTCCGAGTGCGTAGACCGGACGGATAAGCCGGAGAATGACTGCATACACTCACCCTGAGGCAAATATCTCGAGGAGCTCCGCTATCCGTTTGGTGGTAACATAATGATAAGGTAGATGTGTATCTGGCATGAGGAAATTGGAACTTATGTGTTATTATGATTATTACTGTTATTCTCTGGGGCTGAGAGTAAAACACAGAGCGTCAGCAACATATCCTTACTTTGTTCTGTTTTCTGCTGGGATCTTAAGTTGGTGGACAATCGCGCATGATATGTGCGATCTCCTCCACTTTACCCTCAAACAACCCACTTGTGGCTTCTTATTGGGATTCCACTCGATCAGTGTGGTCTGGCGCGAGATGTGATTCAGCGGTCTCCTCAGCGTGTGTACAGTCCATCTGCATTTTCCTCTGCATATTTGTTGAACGATCGGTTCTTGTTTAGTTTGTTCCCATAGTTTCTTGTAGCTAACTCTTTCTGGCCAGCCATTTGATCTTCAATTCGGATCCAGCGAAGGCAGCTGTTGAGAGAAGTTTGAAGCTGGCTGTTGGAAGTGCTTTTCGTGACGCAGGCGCAGTGCAAGTTTCTCACTCATATAGAAGAAGTGACTGACTTGACATTGGTGTTGAACAGAATCCGAATCTTGTTATTTATGCTCAGTGCGGAAAGTTTAGATTGATGATGGTGTATCTTGCCTTTCCGAATTTGGCTGGCATTTTTCATCATCTCCATCTTCTCTATGCTCATCTGGAGTTTTGCCTTCGCTGCCAGCTTCTTCTGCGAGTTTGTTGGTTTCTGCCAGCCCGTGAGTCTTCGAGTTCTTGTGACATTGAACATAAATCATCCACGTGCGAAATCCAGATCTTCTAGAGTCTTCTTATCGGTCCGGCGTGCTCCTGTCTGCTCACTCCCCATGCACGTTGTGTCGCATAATCCAGTCCACATCAATTAGGAATATCATCGTGGGTGATAATAGGCAGTCTTGTCTTACTCCTACATTCACTTGGAAAGCTTCACTGAGTCTTCTGTTGTCGATCACCTGACACGTGACAGGCATTGTCATGTAGCTGTTGAATAGGGTTGATAAAGATTTTGGCACTGCACGCCATAGTGCTGAAACAGTTTTCGAATTACTTCTTGGTCAACGCTGTCTGTCGAGTGCCCTGTCGAAGTCGATTAAATTGAGGTAGTGGTTTAACTGCCATTGTATGCTTTGTTCTGTGATGATGATGATGATGCATAGAGTTGCAATTTGATCATCAAATGATTTGCCTTTCCTGAATGCAACTTGTTCTGGTGGGTCTGGTGGAGTTGTGCATCTAGCGTATCCATTATTCTCTTCAGGATGATGCGACTTAGTGTTTTACTTGGCGTGGAAAAGAGCATTATTGCACGCCAGTCAGTTCTTGCAGAGTGAGGCGTAATTTGTCCTTCTTTGGCAGTTTGACGAGGTAGCCGTTCTTCCAATCAGTGGGCACCTTTCCTTCCCTCCTTCTAATCTTTTCGCAATAATGGCCTGAGTATATCTGCCGCAGTCTCTTGTTCTGTTTTGAGTGCTTCAGTGGAAATGGGTGGATTCTGTGTTGTTCTGCTGCCCTCCCGTCTGGACTTCAGTAGCTTGATTGCATTCAAGCCTTTTCCTCTTTTTTTGGTGGATTGGTGCCCAGTGGCATACAGTTCTGTGAAAACTGTAGGTGATGTTTCCGGGCGAGTTGCAGGTGATGGTGGATTAAGAGTCCTTTGAATTGATCAGCCCATTGTCTTATTCATCTCTTCTCTTTGGTAATTAGATTCTCTTGACCATCTATTGGTCGCAGGTCAGATAATGGGGACCGTCTTCTGCAGCTTTGCGCGGATCACAACCTATTTCTAGCTAGCACCAACTTCCGGCACAGCCATCGCCGTAGCGCTACCTGGCGTCCTCCCTCTGCGAAGCAAGCTTGGACTCAGATTGATCATATCGCGGTCAGTTTCCGGTGGCGGGGATGCATACAAGACTGTCGCTCCTTCTGGAGCACATGCCTGGACTCCGATCATGCGTTAGTGTGTGCCAAGTTCGTCTTGCGATTTGGTGGGGTTCGTAAAAGCCGTAGTCTAAGCGTTGATGTGAGCAAACTAGTAGCACCTGCTACTTCTTTGAAATATCAGAATGAGTTAAAAACAATGCTTGCCAGCAACCCCCCAAGTAGTATAGATGAACATTGGCTTCATGTGCATGGTGCCATGCAAAAGGCGAGTGTAGCCGCTTGCGGCTTGAAAGAATGCTCCGCTAACAACCACTGGGTTTCTGCGAGTTCCTTGCAACTCATGGATGAACGCCGGTCCATTCCGGCTGGCAGCGAATACAACAATCAGCGGAAGGCGCTCACGCGCAAGATTAGACAGTGTTTACGTAAGGACCGCGAAGCCTGGTGGTCAGAACGTGCGTGTGAGATGGAGTCAGCTGCTGCATCTGGCAACAGTCGGAAGCTGTTCCAACTCATACGAGCCACCGGCAGCAAGAAACAAGGTGTCAGCGAGACGGTCTGTGAGGCAGATGGCACTCCAATTACCAGCCTAAAAAGACGCCTGGAACGCTGGGCAGAGCACTTCGGGAAGCAGTTCAGCTGGCCACCAGCTTCAGTGTCTACTATCATTAGCCCGAGTGCTCCTTGGTCGGTTAGTACCGACCCACCCACCGAAGCGGAGGTCCGTAAGGAACTCCAAGTTCTGAAACGCCATAAGGCACCCGGCCCAGACAAATTACCCCCGGCTCTTTTTAAAGATGGTGGCGAGACTATCACAATGGCTCTAACTGGGTTGTTCAGGAAGGTGTGGGAGACAGAGAGTGTGCCATCAATGTGGAACGAAGCCATTATCGTCCCCATCTTTAAAAAGGGTCGACGTAATTCGTGTGACAATCATAGGGGTATCAGTCTGTTACCAGTCGCGTCTAAAATACTGGCTGCTGTCTTGCTTCGCAGACTGTGCAAAATACGTGAAGGATTGATTCGCGAAGAGCAGGCTGGGTTTCGTTCAGGTCGTGGATGCATTGATCAGGTGTTCACCCTTCGTCAGTTGTTGGAACACCGCCACACGTATTGCAGGCCAACGATCGTTGTGTTTCTTGATATTAGGGCTGCCTTCGATTCGTTGGACAGAACTGTGCTCTGGAACTGTCTGTTAGAGAGAGGTGTACCTGAGAAATTTGTTAACATCCTGAAAGCCCTATACAGAAACACCTCAGGTAGAGTGAGGGCATACAACCAACTATCACCACTGTTCCCAACCAACAGTGGGGTTAGACAGGGTTGCCCAATCTCTCCGTTTCTCTTTAACTTTGCCATCGATGACATTCTAGAGTCAGCTCTGAAGGATGTGCGTGAAGGTGGTGTAGATCTGCTACCTGGAGATAGACTTTTCGACCTCGAGTATGCAGACGATATCGTCTTACTGTGCGATAGCATGCAGGCTGCCCAAATCGCACTTAATCAGTTGGCGATCAGTGTCTGTAAGTATGGTATGTGCTTTGCGCCGTCTAAGTGCAAAGTACTGTTACAAGATTGGCAGGAGCCTGTACCTGCACTCACTCTTGCGGGTGAACCGCTTGAAGTTGTTGATAAGTTTGTGTACCTGGGTAGTTGTGTGAGTGCTGGCGGAGGGGTGACGGATGAGATTTCCAACCGTATAATGAAGGCTAGGGTGGCATACATCAACTTGAGCCACCTCTGGCGCCGTCGCGACGTTAGCCTGGCTGTCAAATGTCGGGTATACAATGCTTCGGTGCCAGATGTCCTGCTCTACGCCTGTGAAACCTGGCCTCTCCGAGCTGAGGATGTGCGGCGACTCTGCGTGTTCGATCACCGCTGTCTCCGCAGGATTGCTTGCGTTCGATGGCATCATCGCGTGAGTAATTCTGAGGTTCGGCGGCGTGTGTTTGAACAAAGTGGAGATCACTATTCCTTGAATGTCGTCATCTGGAAACACCGGCTCCGGTGGCTTGGACATGTGCTCCGAATGTCACCCCAGAGGCTTCCGTACAGGTCTCTGTTCGCTAGCCCTGGGACGGGATGGAAAAGGCGGAGAGGTGGTCAGTCCATGACGTGGCGTCGTGGGATGAAGGATTTTTGTGCTAGATTAGCATCGGTTGGTGTGTCACGACTCCCTGGTTGGGGTCCGAGAGATAGCTCAAATCGATGGCTCGAAACGTTATCGGATATGGCCAAGAATCGTAATCAGTGGCGAATGTGTTGTGATTTCCTTCTTTCTTCCCTTCCCGATGATAGCTAACGAACACTGTTTGAACTTGTTAAGCATGACTGTTTTCCTTCCAGATGAAGTTCTTTATCCGTTCTCTACTTATATATATTTTTTCTTTTCCTTCCTTCCTTTTTTTTTGATCTATGTTGTTTTATTATTATTGTGTGGCGCATCTTTCTTGGTGCCATATTGTACCAAGTTTTTTATGCGTTTAAATAAATA